AACTAAAGAAAAAACGAAACTATTTTAACTACAAATACATGCCGTTGCCGTTTATGCCGAACTCTCCCGGAAAATAATAATCGACCCCAGCACCATTTTCAGATAAATAATCGAACGGCGAATACTGAAACATATTATAATCATCAACTGAAATAGAGTTCGTTTGTTGGTCGAAAAGATTCCAAGAATCTTCAGAACTCGAACTATTGTTGTTGTAATCGAGCGCGAAGCTATCGGGACTTAAGCTTCCCGAGTCGTGGACTTGAAAAGGGTCGGTCGAAAGCCACTCGGCGAATAGAATTGGTAAATTGCAATTAGGTCCCCTCGACCGGTTTATTTCCTGTAAATTCGGGTTGTTTGCCTCGTTTATCGATGGTTCCGGCCTTGTAAACGATTCGAGACCGGGATTTTGGGGCGGAAGGTTCGGAATTTGAGTTAATTCGCCATTTATGGTTTCTTTTTTAACCTGCATTTCAGTTTTAGCTGCCCTTTTCTTGAGGTAAGAGTGCCAATGGTTTTTAATCTCATTATCTGTTCTTCCAGGTAAATGTTGGGATATTTGAGACCATCTGCAAATAAATAAATAATCAAAATATAATTATGAAACATATAATTTATTTGCAAATTTATTTTCCTTAATTATGCTGAAATTAGTATAATAAAGATATTAATAATCAAAATATTTTCAATCAAAATATACATATTTTCAAATTAAAATAATTTATTTTTTTTAAAAAAAAAAAACACACACAAAAATATGGCAATTTATAATTTGTGATTTTATATAAGTATTTCTTACTTGTTCCCTAAAATTTGATGAAGGGCCAGGATTACTTCTTCCTCTTCCAAACTAAATGCCCCACGCTTTAATCCTGGCCGTAGATAATTAATCCACCTTAATCTACAGCTCTTTCCATTCCTTTCTAATCCTGTCAAGTAAAAAAGTAATGAAAATGACTCATAGGATTAGTAAAAATATTATTTTAATTACTTTACTATAAAATAAAGTTAACTATATATTGACAATTAGTCATTAATCCAAACCATATCTCACTTAATAAATATTACTATTATTCTAGTTGTGAGTAGTCAATCCATTATAAACTTTATTGACTGTTAAGTAAACTTTATTCTTAATCATGTAATTAATTAATCAAAATTACCAAATTAGAGTAATTAAAACGTAAATAAATTACAATTAGCTGTAGACCATCTATGTTCTATTACATTACCGACACTCACCAATGGCTATTTATTAGTTTCAAAGTCATGATTAGCTAGCATGACTTGGTTCATCTAACATACTCACTCCACAAGACCATTTAGATGATGAAAATTGAAAAGTAAGTGAAAAATGAAATTTCAAGAAAAATGTAGTCTATCGTGAGCTCGGCTCAGTTCATCAAAGCTCGAGAATAGACATTTTTACATAACTTTCTGAGCTTTTATTTTAGCTCGACTCATTAGGGCTCGAGTTAAGCTCGTTGATATTGATACACGAACTGCACTCAAGCTCGTTTATTATCTTGTCTAATTAACGAGTTCCACTCAATAAAGGCTCGAGCTCGACTCGTTTACACCTCAAATGCTGCAAAGAATCACTACATTACACTTGAAAATAAGTCTATAAACGAGCCGAGCCGAGCTCGAGCTCGGCTTGTTTGTCACTGTTAACGAATCGAATTATAGAAAATTTTATAAAAATTCTCTTATCGAGCCGAGGAGTTTCAAATGAGCTCGAACTCGACTCGTTAAGGGCTAGTTCGAGCAGAACTCGAGTCGAGCCGAGCCAGACTCGTATAATTTAACAAACACTACTTGAAAACAACTCTACACTTACCGGCATTGGCCGGAACTGAACTCCAGCAGCCATGGCCGTACTTCAGGACATAATTCCGAAGCTTCTCATCTTCATCAGGAGACCACAGACCTTTCTTGAACTTCTGATTCGGGTAATCTAGCGACTTTCGGACCATTTTTCAAACGAGACGAACTCGAAATTTATTTTAATTTTTTTTTTATATGTATAATTTTTGTATGTGTTGTGTGACTCCAAATATACGATTCAGGCCAGTTTATATAAAGGAAGCGCAGCTTGGAACTTGGGAAGTGTTTAGTTTATTTCAAATTAACATAAAAAAATATTGAGTTTTGACATTAATTAACTGCCACTTTGTAGAGTGAATTAAAATATTTTTGGTACAAATAAAATATTAAAAGGGCTGTAAACTTATTTAGATTTTTAAAAGTCGGCAGGTATATACAATGTAGTGTTTTCAAAGCTCTTTTGATATTATCAATCCCTTAGTTGACCTTTGGATTGGAATGTTTTTTTATTTTCTTTTTCCTTCAATTTTTAGAGATATAAAGCATAAGAGTTCATACTTAATTTTGGCTATTTTTTCATTCCGTATGTTGTAAATTGGAATGTTTGAAATGCTCACCTATTCAGACATATGCCTATCAGCTATGTTATGTATCAAAATCTAGTGTAATTTTTTAATATCATACCATTTTGTATAATATGCTAATCTTCCTTCATGTTACATGTACTATATATATATTAGAATATTCACTTGTGAATCTATTTTAAGAGCCAATATCTTACATGGTGATAGGAATTATAGTACCAATCCGACTAAACCCAGCGAAGACTCGCTAAACTGGGATCGAGCAAGGGCTAAAGGTCGAGTAGAGACCGGGGAGGGTCGAACCGGGTCTGGGGGTCGAATGCGTGGGGAGGGTCGAATATCGACCGAAGGCTAACGCGGCATTCGACTAGAGCCAAGGGTCGAAGGGCTCGACCCTCGTGTTGGACCAAAGCATTGTACTAGTTCAAAGGGTCGAAGGCTTGATCGTTGAGTCGAGTCACCACGAGGGTCGAAGGTAGCACATAAGACCGGGCATTTGTTAAGTTAGGACCGGTCAACGAACGTTATAGAACATATAAACCCGAAAGGGGGAATCGTACAAGGAAGACTATATAAAGGGTTAATCTCAATAATGGTAGGTAAGACTTCATAAATATCACTACCGTTATATTCAATACACGCGTTATTGTTCTTCATCTTCAAGATATTTGGCTTGGACATCGGAGGGTTTTGCGCCAGAGCAATTTCGGTGCTTTGCAGGTACCGGCAAACTCGCACGCTCGGACCGGACCAAATCAGCCAATCCACAACTCAAATCGGAGAGGGCCCTTTGAAGAACCGGAGTCTCTTATCTTGGACCATATCACCGTGCGATGACGTAACCGTTTATGGGAGCCTGTTTCTAATAGGGCTCGGGCACTCATCTCCGTATATGGGCTTGAGCTTTCTTATTAATGACTTACAAATGAAGGAACGTATTAAAATATTCACTTGTGAGTTGTCCCACATCGTTTATATAGTGAAAATAGGCCTACTTTATAAGTCTAATGAGCTACTCATTCAACCACCAATTAGTGTTGGGATGGAACTTCATTGGGCTTCATTTAGGCTTTCCCGACTCATGGTGCACTTCACATGCGTGGGACCGTATCCGTTTTTCTCCTGTTTCTTACACTGTAAATAATATAATATTGTTCTCTAAATAATTATTTAGTTTAATTATTTACTTGTTCAGTTTGACAGGGTCAAATTAATTATTTTGTCAATCATTGGAAAAATAAAAAATAAAAAACCAGCAGTTTATTATATGTTGAAATTATGGGCCATTTTATTGGCTTAGTAGATTTGAGTAAGGGTACTTGTATTAAGAATTTAATATTATCACTGTCTATTAACTGATTGGGAATATATAATCTCAAAGACCAAGATTTTATTCTGAAGCTCACTATATATAGGCTTTGAATTTATTTGTTAATATAACAAGTTATAAGTGCTTCTTTAATTTGTCCAAAAAGAGTTGGGAAAATAATATTAACGTAATTTATGCTCTTGCGGTTTTCATAACTTTGAAATTAATTAGCATCAATTAAATATTAATAATTCAAAATTGTAATGGTTTATATATATCAAATTATTTATAAACTTGAGTAGAAAAACATAGTAATTAAGTAATTTTCGATTAATAATAAAACTAACCCGTATATGAGGTATGAAATTTACATTACTTAATTTTTGAGTTAAAAATTAACAACATTTGAGTCTTATTATGCAATAATTTTCAACTTTTACTTCATAATTTGTTGTGAAATTTGTCGTACTTTATATTAGGTAAAATTTGAATTTTAGTTACCAACAGCTCATCCTGCATTTTACTCTACACATATATTCTACTTCCATCCACATTATTTTAAATATATTTTAATATCGAAATAGAATTTTGTTCAAACATCTTATTTTACACATATTTTTTCGTAGTATAATTATTTTTGATAAAATGTATATATTTATTATTAGATATAATTATAAATCAAGTTAAGAAAGTATTTATAAAAATTCAAAAATAAAGAACAAAAAGGAAAAAATAAACATAAACCAAAGAAAACGATACGAGAAACAAAATTAAAGAAATAAATAAACTAAAGTCGTCCGAACATTATTACCAAATGGAGCAACGTGCGAGAGGAAATTCTGCATCTAACGATAGATTGGAAATGCTCTTAGTAAACTCAAGGTTGTAAAGCAATTTCACATGCCCATTACCAACCTCTAGCTAGGTTTAGCAACTGCTCCTTCTTTTGACCTATTTCTCTAACAATTTTCTCTTTAACATTTCAAAAGCAACTGTTACATTATATATCTCACTCATGTTTGTAGGTTAGACATTTGATTGCAAAAGTTACAACCATAAGCATAAACTTACACACACAATGAAGAAGTCTTATCATGCACACTTAAAGTGTCAATTTCAACAATAGTAGTATATATATAATTTATGGTGTATACTACAAAACATTACAAAAAAAAAATATATATATATATCATATTCCAACAGAAAATCCTACGGTAATATATTATAGTAGAAATTTCAACGGATATTCTAACGTTATAACTTCTGTTGGAATCATTTCAACGTAAATTCCAACGTAAATATTCCGTTAGAATGAATTTTTCATTGGAATTTTAGAAGGAATTTAATGATTCAAGCGGCTACTTTTTTAACGTTTTCTTATTGTAGGATTCGTTGGAATATGTAAATTCCGTTGGATTTTTTATATACACCCATATTTTCAATTATTGAGAAATGTATTATATGAATGTTAAAATCCAAGGAATTTTCAATGGAAAATGTTGACGAGTGATCGCCAACAATCCTTATTTATGAGTGGAAAATGTTGACGAGTGATCCCCAACAGTCATTAATTATGAGATCAAGGATAGGTACTAAGTGATGACTAGATAGATATTTGGTGTGTGTTGTGAGAGTATACAATATGGTGTGATATGAATGATATGCGATAACAAGGAAATAGAATGACAAGCCATATAGCCGATCTGCTGATAGATCGACAAGGAGAAAGGTTCTCCGAATGAATGACTAGCAAAATGTTTTTTTTTTTTTTTTGTGTGTGTGTGTGTGCAATGACACTGCAGAATGAGCTTGTGTATGCTAGTATATGTGTTTTGTGTGTGTAGCTTGGCTTAGCGTGGTATGTCCAAAATGAGGTACCGAGAGGTACTTTTATACAAGAAAAAGGTAGAATGTAATGGTGATTGTGTGTCACTTCAATGGTTAAGAGGAGGACGCGTGGTGTCATGCAGGAGTTCATCTTTTGGGGACAGGACGCGTTTTTGTAGGTCTGCAAGAAATGATCGGTTTGGACGGCGAGACAAGATCCTCTAGGCGCTGGTGTCACCATATGTAGCAGTTTTACTAGTTCAACTTGTCAGAGCGTGTTCCGCAAAGTGATTGACGATCGGCAATTTACAAGATCGGCATTTGGCAATATGTGGCGATTGGGCGATCGACAGGTTGTCTTGTCCCACTGTCTTTCCGTTCATACCAATGCTCCTGGACCTTACTGAGGAGTGATACGTTGTGGCGATAACGACCATGCTTCTATCGTAATCTTATAGGCTTTGTTTTTAGGATGCTTTGTAGGCATATGCAACATAAAATTCATTCCAACAGAATATCTTAGTTGAAACTTCCTTTAGAATTATATTAGAATATATTTCCGTTGAAATTTCACCATTTTCCTATAATGAATATTAGAATCTAATTAACAAAATAATGAATATACCACAGTTTTTCACTTACTAACCGTGGACATATTACGATGTGTCCACTAGCCATGTATCAAAATTTTATGATCTTTCAACTACACCCGTTTATGCTATATTATTCTTTCCACATCAGTCGATGGTCATATTAATTTGTGTCACCGTATGCGAAAAAAACGAGAATATTGAATACATACTATAATTTTATTTGCTTCTATGCATTGTAAAATTAATTTGGAGAGTGTAACATTAAATGATACCAAATGTGATCGAAAATATGTTCGATTAGATGTCTTGCTATAGTATGAACCCAAAAAGATTCTGTATCACAATATTCTAACAAACGTTCTGAAAGCATATGCTACATATATATTCCATACTACTTTACCAGCTATTTAAAAGTCAAGTGGTTCATTTAATTATTTAATATACCTATTATATTATATATTTTCCCTATGTTGCAATAAATATTAATTTGATGGACCTTTTACATATTTAAATTTATTATCATATTATCTAGGTTGAAAAATAGAAAATCATATTTTTAATAATATTTTTGTTTTATCTTACAAGGTTGAGAAAAATAAAAGAATTAACCATTATAATCATACTCTTTTTTTCAATAAATTTGAATACTTGTGACTAGATATTATATTTGAAAAAGGGCAAATAAAATTAAATATGCATTTGAGCAGAAACATCTACAATTGATTTATTGAAAAGATGGTTTAATAAATCAAATTGTGAGCTTAATTAAATTTTATGCTGCTTTTATTGTTATAACTGTTGTTAATTAATGTTATTAATTGTTATTTATTGTTGTT